GAACCTGCTTTGGCAGGGGTGTTGGACTAGATAATGTCCAGAGGTCCCTTCCAACCCCCACCATTCTGTGATTCAAAAAGAGTATTTGTTTTATTTTGCAGATTAAACATAAAAAATGAATAAGCAGTGCTGATCAATCTCAAGATTGCTATTAAACAAATCATAAACACTACTATCAATAAAAATGGCTAGGTATCTCTCTGACAGGAGGTTACATCAGTAATTTATAACATACAAAAGCAAAATTGCTTTCTAGTAAAGCCAGTTTTTGAAAATTAAAAACCAGCAAGTTCAAAAATTTAGCCAAGATCGAATATCTAGTTCACTGGGGTAATAAAACTAGGTCTCAAAGCAAGCAACAAATTTCTAACCCAGTATTAACGATTCTAGGATAGAATCACATTTTTTCTTTCTTCCTGAGATGACCTGATCTGCCACCCAGATGGAGTTTCAGAAAACCTCCAAGTGATGTAACATTGTGCACAAGAGAGTAACACACATACAACTGAGCATGTCATTTTTGCAAGAGAAACAATATACCAGTATGAAGCTACGGTCATTCTTAATTATTTAACTTCTCACAGGTTTCCAGAAGTACTTGTTTTTCACTACATAATTTAATTTCAGCATCATAACTGCTATAATTTCTCAAACCATAATTATTAAGTCACACATAATATAACCCCTTCTTAATATTTTTCTTATATGGTTTGCTGTATTTTTAACTTCACCATGTAATCCACTACATTACTAGAGTAAGGAATGATCATGGTAGTTCTACAAACACTGCTATAACAACTTATACAAGATAAAAGGGGTTCATGCCTGAGAAACTGTGGCACTGTAATGACATTGCAAGACCAGTGCTTTACTGCCTATTTCTTATGACAGTGGCAGTCAGGCCACACCCTAACTCAACACTACCCTCCAACCAGCTTTAAAAACCAACTATTGAGTCTCCCTTTCACCACAGCTGAACTGAATCCTACAGTGGGCTCTAAGTCTAGAATTAAGAAAGAGACATGAACAACCTTGATATAACAATGGCCTATCATTTTGAAAGGCACCCCTGACTTGCTATCAGAACAAGAAAAAAGTTAAACAAAAATAAAAATTGGCTTATTTCTATTTTTTAATCTATTAATTGACAAGGTTTTTATTAAAGTCCATAATGACAAAAAAAAAGTCAGGAGTAGACTCCTTCATATCCAGAAGAATCATAGAATTATGAAGGTTGAACATATGAACTGCTGTGTGTGAGCTGTCCCCTCAATACATACACAAGGAGTCGGGAAATGCAATTAGTTATCATCTGCACTCTTTTCAGCGAGTCACTTCCATTCTGAGGTCTGAGGCTAACAGAGAAAGAGTTGGATAAAGAATGGGAAACTCTGGGAAACAGTTTGTCCAGCAAACTCAATTTAAAAAAAAAAAAAATCTCTCTTGCTTGTTACCAGAATAATACAGATTCAAGTATCACTGCTCCCTGCAGTTGCTTGATATACTGCTCCTCTGCTTTTAGAGGATAGAGGAACAAAGAATATCAGCTTCCTACTCTTTTGCAGTTTTCCATGGGAGAGAGACCTTGGAGAAAGGAAAGGTTTTGCAGCAGGAGAGCAGAAAATGATCAGCTTCAGCCTACCTACAACAGTAATTTGCTGAAACACTTGATTTCTCAGACTTCAGAGCTTGGATTGAAAATAATTTACCAGACAGACCACTTAGGTAAACATGGAAAGTGTGATTCTTTTAAAACACACACACACTCATTTAACATTCAGTGTGTGTGGGGTGGTACGCAAAATTGTAAAGTGTGTGGTTAAATTCCAAGCCATCTCTGACATTCCAGCTCAAATAAAGTTTTAAACACACAAATTTACTATTCTGAGATAATTTTAGTTGTCCATCTTTGGAATTCAGACTAATGCATGATTTTAAGAGGTAACTAGTAGAGAAAGCTTAGTACTCACTTCAAAAGAAACTGAGTATGTGTAAGCAATTTTGATTTCTCCGTTAGCCTTATTGCTTATATCCATAGGTACTCCTGAGCAATCAGGGTTATCTGGATGAGTATGCTTGTAACTGCAGGAAGAAAAAAACACAGATTGAAAGCTGCTTCACTGAAACACTCTTAAGAAAGAATTAATCCACCTTACAAAAGCATCAGTTTCATCCAGGATTCTTTCCTTACATACAAAAATTGTTCTTAATGCCCCATAAGTTTCAGAACTCATAAGGAATGTATCATAAGCAAAGGACTTTTTGACACCTGAATTTTTTAAACAAGTTGTCTCTTCTAAAAAGAAAAGAGTCTCAAAAGCAAAGCACCAAAAATTAAAGAAGTCTGAGTGCTGCTAAGAAACTCAAAAAGTTACAATGACAGAATTACTAACTTCTGTCAGAAAAAAAATACTTTCATCATGATGCTGGACCAACAATGCAACAGGGTCAGTTTTACAAAAAAAAAGGAAAAACAAGATGCTAAGGAAAAATAAAACAGCCTTCAGTTGTGCAAAAGCCACATAGACACCAGAGCAACTGACAAGTATATTTGTGAAAGCACTCAATTTAAATCCTGATTGCTGAAGCCATCAAGTGTTGCACTCTGATTACTCCTGCATCAAGCACTGGTGGCCTATTCCATCACAAGTAAAAGTTTGCCCCACCAGAGAAACAAGGGTTGCTTCACTGAACATATACACTTCTAGGCCTTGCTTTTTTTTTTTTTTTTGTCCCAAATATGTAATAGTGCACAAAGATCTATTGAATTCAGAACAAAAATCATGTTAGACTGTCCCACATTACACTACATCAATCAACAGGAAAGCTAACCTACAGGTCACATATCTGAAAACATTTCTGACTAGTAACAGGTCCCCAGATACAAGTGTCTTGGGAGGGAGCACTGTTTGATGACAAGTTACTACCGAGTACTAACCTTTTTGGTTCAAGTTTAGCAGCAACTAGTCTTGCTCCCAGAGCTTCATTTTCCACCACATGGTAAAATATTTTTATGTCAACATGGTTGAAGATATAAAAGGTATCTTTTTCATGAAATTCTGACTGTAATGATAAAAGGTGATGTTAAACAATCAAAAAGATAAAGACATCTAAAAGCCATAGGTAGAAGCTTACATAGCAGAATTTTAGACTGTGTATAGTTTTTCTGTCAAGAAGTTCTACAAGATGGATGCAGATTCTAGGAATACAAAGATAGCAAAGTCTTTGCATTAAAACCTTGCATTAAAAACTAACTTGAAAAGTACAAAAATGTATTTAAATATAAAATGTATTTTTAAATGTACTTAATAAAGTATTTTGGAAACTGAGGATGTCCCATTTTATTTAACTGAAGTAGCAAACTGAATAGAACTATGTGAGAACTTCCATATCAGAAGCATTTCATAAACATCAGTGACTTTAAAACAATATGTATATTTTTCATATATTTTCATAGATTAAACTGAACCTTCCAAGACAAACAATTCATTATGGAGGCAAGAAAACAAAATTAGAAACTGTAGAAACTGTCATCTTTGGTAAAATCCATTAAGTAAGCCCAGCCATTTTGATATAACCAAAAACCTATTCCAGATTCTCAGTGACATCTCCATGGAAGAGGCCTGAGGAAATCTAAAGACACTCTGGACGTTCTATTACATTCTTATCTCCAAAATGCTTACAGTGCATTTATCTGGACCTCCACCACTTAATCCAATAGATCTGTCTTTCACAGGGGAAGCACTGTTCACTTGGAAATCTTATATTCTGCCTTCTTCCATCAGCCCACACAGCTTTAGGGAAAGCAATGCTTCAAGAAGTACTCATTTCCGTACAGAGGTACAAACTACAAACACATCTGTGCAAACCCGCTTCCATTAAAACACTTTTATCCCACAAAAATGTAAAGCTCAAGCCTGCAAAAGTTTAGACTTCCTAGGCAATGAAGGATGGTATGTTTTTCTTCTCCTTCACCCTTTACATGTACTAAATGCTATGCATGTCCACCTCTTCTCTCTATTTTTTAGAGCCCTTCTGCATTATGCAACAGAAGAGACAAGGTTCTTAGCCTTAGATGAGGCTTACAAATTGTGGTACTTGCAGAGACATCAAAACACCTAGTTTTAAGCAACAGGGGTTCTTAAGCTAGTGAGGACTCACCATAGAAACATGACACAGGAGAAATGCCAGTCCCTAAATTAGTAAAAAGAGGATATGACAAAAAAAAATAGTTGCAAAAACATACATTAATAACACAGGCATCTTTTGGACGGCCATCTTCTGTAATATAACAGCCGATAGGAAAACCGGGATTGCAGAACCTCTGGCCATCTTCAACGTCGTAACACCAGGTCACAGGCATGTTGTCCACAATCCTGTAAATGCCACAGTGACACTTCACAATCTTTCAAAACACACAGTGCAATGCAAACAAACCCAGATTAATATTAATCTAACTTTGCTACATTCATTATTGGATGACTAACTACAATAACACTTCTTTCAGATACTAATCCATTGAATGGCACCAACTGCCAATCCAATTTCCAAATGAGATACAAGCACATGGTTCTTCAACTGAAACTGTATCTCTTTTTATAAAAAAGATATTTTAAAAAAAACCCCAATCTATTTCTTCAGAAGGTGGCTTGGAAATAGGAGGCTTACTCTGTGACCACCAAACATTCTATATATAGCCCAATACATAAAACTGTACCACTCCAAAGTCATAGAAATTTAACATTTCATTATTCTGTCTTTAAAAATGGCCAAAATCACCCAGTAAAGCAGCTAAAATGAACTCGAGAATTTCAAGTTTAAGACAAAACACAAAATAAAAAAAATTGCCTACACACACATATTAATTCTCCAGCTTCCTCACTGCTCTTCCATTGCAAAATACATTTTTCATGGCACTCCTTATTCTGCATCAAAGCTAAAGCACAAGTTGTTGGGGTTTTTTGTTTGTTTTTTTTTTGCTATTTAAGTGAATTCCTGATCATTGATCTCAGTCGTAGTTCCCTGACAGCATGGAAAATTTTAACTAGATGGCTTACATGAGGAAAAAATGGTAAGCCACCACACATTTGGGAAACTACTCCCTTCAAACCTCCCTCCATTGTCTACCTGTTGTTTTTATATTATTGCCTCACAAGATTTATATTCGTATTACCTAAAAGTCCTGAGCCCAGTAGGTTTATAGTTCAATTAAAAATTTGTGGAGGAACCCCACACCCCCATGAGGAGCTGCAGAAAATTATAAGACAGTAAGATACAAACAGTATCCAACGTGCTACAAACAGTACAAATGTCAAAACCAAAAACATACTTTTAAACATAGAGTAAGATACCCAACATGGTGACCCGTCCCTTTGTAAAAGGAACTACCAAAAAAACCCAAACCTCTTTGTGTTATGAAGTGTTTTAACCAGCTGAAAGATAAATCCCAGAAGAAAGTCATTCAAAGATGACTTAAAACTCAGTAGCTGCCTTTCGGGTAACATTAATTGCTCCAAGGTATGTTTTTAAGGGTCTATTAATAAACTTCACACATGAAGACATGAGACAACTGCCGCTTTTTGTGCGTCACTAGACCGAGAAAAGGACATCCCACTGAAAGTTAACACCACACATTTTTTGTAAAACTTATCATGCTACTGAATATCATTTACAATTAAATGTCTCATCATTCTAACTACTAGTCTATTAATGTTAACAGATACCTGATAATACCTCATTAGGTACTGTTAAATACCTAATTAAACACAGTAATTATGACTTCAGGCAAAAACCCCTAAAGCATTATTTAGTCTGTTGTGTACTGTAATAGTATAAAGTAGCACTATTTTTTAGAGCACATCAAAAGATGGGGGTAAAAAGAGCGGTAGGTGCTGCCTTTGTTCACACAACACAGAGATCTGCATCACCCCTACCGTTAGCAGAAATAAGCAGCAATGTTCTTGGCTTTTGCTGGAAGAGTGGGAGAGGTGAAGACAGGCCAGTTTCCAGGTTCTTAGGACATTCCCAAAACTATCTTGGTCACAAGCAGCAGCAGCACCAACCAAATCCTACTCACTTCACCATGCTACTAAGAGGTACAATTAAGTTGCTAATTAGGAGCTAATTCAGTTGCACGTTCATTACACTTAGACCTTATTTGGAATTTTACCTCCACAATATGTGCTAGAGAGACCTCTTGCTTTTGTTAGTATTTGAATTTCATAATCAAGACCAGGTAAAGCATCAACCCACCACAAATGAGTTTGGTTAGGGCAAAGGCTTTCCCTTGCATCTTCAGCAGCAAAGACACACTGAGCTGCCTTCAAGCAGCAATGCTGGAACAAACTGAGAGTTTAAGAAGCAAATCATTTTTCACAGCTAACCTTCAAATTTAAAATGATTCGAAGAGATTATACATGTGGGGCAAATATGCTACACAACAGTGTTCTTATATGTCTCTCAAGAACATCTGGTGACAAACACTGCCAGCCAAGACATCAGTATAGCTGTTGAGTCCAATTTAGTATCTCAATTCCTAATCTTATTAAGTGGCTTTTAAAACCTTAAAAGTACTTTGCACCATCTGTATTCACCAGGAATTTTACAATAAATTGAAGGTGGATAATAAACCTCTATGAAATCCTCACTTATGCTACCTTGCTGACCCTGAACTATGCATCATTTATCACATATTCCAGCCACTTCCACTTTGTGGAGATGTAGCTGAGGAGGACCATCTTTACTATACAGACACAAACAGGGACTCTTCATGCTGTTGGTTCTAAAGTTTTAGGGCATTTGGCCTAGCAAAAAAAAAAAAAAAAGAAAAAGATAGAAGTGCTATTAAAAGAACTAAAAATAGTAGAAGTTGCCTAAATTTAATGGGAAGTTTTCACACTGAAAAAAATAACTACATCTTACTCAAATCTGAATAGTTCTATCAAGTTAGCTGTACAGGCTAAAAAATATATTTAAATACACTAAGAATATTTGTAAAACAATTTAACCTAAGGGGAAAAAAAACAGTCTAAAGTACTTTTCTGTGTGATTAGCTTTACACAGTTCTGTTTCAGTTTCTTCAGTTTCTGTCAGCCTATATTTTAGGCTTTCCTAAAAAAAAATTTAATTATTTCTTTCAAAGAGTTACAGGATCATAGCCTTGGGAAACTATTTTTCATTTATACACCAAAACTTACACTAACTTTTAAAGCTGAAGCTTTATGCCAGACCAACATGCATCAGTGAAATTCAAAGTGGTGTAAATATTATGAATATATGCACTACTTAACAGGACTATAACCAAGCCCAGCATGTTTGAAGCTCTACTTATTTCAGCATTAGGCATATCACTTTGAATCCCTGCAAAAGTAGCTGTACCTTTTAGGGTTGCTTTATTGTTGCTTTATTACTTCCTGCTTCTCCTACATGAACATAAGGCTGTTGCCTGTGAACCCTTCTGATCTAATTTATCAACTTCCAACTTCACTAATTTTCTAGAGATTCCCAGAAAGATTTACATCAGTAAGCCACAGTTTATCCCCAAAAAGGGATATCCCATATTGGTTCCCAAGAGCAGTAGAAAATGAACTTGTTGCTGTTCCAGCACAGGTATCTGTTTCAAAACTGAAGAAACTGAATGTAACATTACAGAAAAAACATTTAATGACAACAGCACCATTCAATATTTCACCTGCATTTTTACTAATATATCCAGAAAGCTTTAATCTAACTAGATGAAGACTGAAATGTTTATTTCTGTGAAGCAGGCAGCACACATTTGGAATCACAGGGGCAACAGTGGATAATTATGCTCATGTATTACTTGCAAAGACGCGTCACAGGAGCTCTGACAACTTCGTGGCCAAGTTGTTCCTTCTACCTTTGCACCCAAAGTCTGCTGTTAGCATAGTGTACCAACATACAAAGCACCATCCACACACCAACAGCGTGGCTGTGTATTTCCAATGTCAAGGCGAAGCCTGCTGATAAACACTTCCCAGCTCCTGGATGTGGGTGCAGAGCGCGGCTACATCCCAACTGCAAACCAGCACGAGCTTCAGCACACACGTTC